TCGGCTAGCTATTGAATATTATTTGGTTTTCATATTTTACTAGATATTGGATGTTATTATACTAAATATTAAATGCTACTTGACAACATATTTGAAATGAAATAAGAAAGTGTTGAAATATGTATTTGATGTCGTATTTTATTTTTTCTATTTTTGTTAGATATTGGAAGATAATTTGTATTGTTGCCTCAAGAGTAGAATCGAACCGAACTGAAATAGATGGTCGGTTTGCTTTCGATATTTATGTGTACAACAGTTTCATTTACGAAAGGCTAAGTACACTCACACCATGGTTTTAATAATTAGACTATATATTAATTGCATGAAAAGTTTATAACATTTACATAGAAATGACAAAATAGTCGAGTAGCTCGTCGGCTCGGCTCGTCGAGGCTCAGCCCATGGATGTCTCGAGCTTGTTTACGGTGACCATTTGGCCACTTTATGAAAGTTTCGTGATAGTTGGAGTTCCCAACGGTCATTGAAATTTGGAACTCTTTCTCCCAGTATCAATTTTATAAGACTTAGCACATGGATGTAGTCAAAGGAAAATACTCATGAAGGAATGGTGAAATTTGTTATCGGTATTGAGTTGCCGCTAACCATAGTGTACAACGAACATTTCACACAGTTTGTGTAAGAATATTTTCAATCAAGGTACGTTGGAGTAAGTAGAAATACTCTACATTTTGATTGCATAGATTATTTCGTTAAACACAAAAAATAATTGATTCATGATTTACGTAAATATGACGGTGTTATATTATTTACTTCGAATTTATAGGATGGTATTAATAAAGAGGTTATATAGTTGCAACTGCACATTACGTAGACCCACTTTGAATTTTGCACAAAAGAATAATTGTTTTTAAGATAATTGAGTATCCTCATAATGCTAACAACATATTTAAAGCTCTTATGCATGTTGTGAAAGTAAAATTCACTCCTTTATGTTTGATAATGTTAGTGTTAATAAGCCTGTTATAGATAAATTGTGTAAGGTTCTTAATCCTGATTTCGATGATTTTCTATTTCATATTCGTTGTGTGTGTCACATCTTTAATTTGATTTTGTAAGACGATATGAAGCATATTAAATATCAAATAGGTAGAATTAGGGATGCATTAATATATATAATCCTATCACCAAGTAGAAAACAAGTATTTAATGAATATTGTTCTTAATTTAGTTTAAATTTCAAAAAAAAAATGTATCTGACATAAGGCATAGATGGAACTCGACTTATTACTAAAATCATGAGAAGCATATGAAAATTTAGTTACAAAATTTTATAATTTTATACTTACAAGTAATGGTGATGGTTCTGTTTTGACTGATACTGATTGGAATTAGCTTTTAAAGTTAAAAGATTTTTGACAAGTTTTTATGATTCTACAAACATATTATTTGACTTATACTACCTCACTAGTTCTAGAGCTTTTGAATATCTTTTTGTTATTGCAAGAATTTTTAATAAATAAAGAAATAATCCTGATTTTACTGGAATATTGAATTCTATGGAACTAAAGTTTAGAAAATATTGAGTAAGACTTGCTTATGTTATTTTCTTTGGCATGTATAATGGACCCAGATACAACTTGAAATGCACTAAAAATGTTATTAGACAAAACACAAATGTTCTAAAATTTGATTCTACTATTAGTTATTCTAATTTAGAAAACACATCAACTTCCATGTATGAATTCTATGCACATAATTGAATGGGTGCAAATGTTAGTCGGACACCCTCTGCACCCCTTTAACGTTAATCTTCAAGATGATGATGAGGAAATTTTGAATTTATTTACAGACATTAGGAATGAAAGATTTGATATAGATTCTTCTAGTATGTCTTCTGCATACAATCAGACATTGGATGTAGGTTTAGCTCCAATTGGAATGCATGTCGAATTACATAGATATTTTAATAATCAAATGCTTAGGAACGTAGAACTTGTTGATGCATGAAATTTGATTTACTTGATTTTGACGTCATGAATGTAGATATCCCATTGCTTATGTAATTGAAAAAGATCTACTAATACCCCTAATTAGCAATGCAGATTCAGAGTCTACTTTTAGTGTAGGTAAGCGAACTCTGTCCAAGTTTAGGAACCAATTCAAAGAAGACATTTTGGAAAGCTTAATGTACATAAAGGATTGCCAATTTTTCATTATCGAATATAAAATAGGTATATCGAAATTGCGTCTAATCAGATAAATGATATTTAATTTTGTCATATAATCAAAATTTGTTATTTTCTTAATAATATTTTGTTCTTTTAAAAAAATTGTGCACATAAAAAGTTGTTCATATACAATTTTAACCCTGCATACTCAAAAATTAAGTAGTCGATCCCAAACTCGGAGAAAATGAGGAAGTTTTTTATACATAAAAAGGAAAAAGGCAAGCTAGTTGGCAGAGCCGAGCTTGGCCCTTGATAGACGAGGTTTCTACCTTTGCACATCATCATATTTATGTTTCATAATTTTTTTTATCGCATTTTTATTCTCAAATGAACATAAGTCATTTTTGGTTATGGTTTCTCTCCAGAAGTTTCTTTAAAATAGAGCAAAAAGGCTCATTTGTCTATTTTAAATAAGCAAAACAAATAATAACGTAAAAATGTGACTAAATAATTGACCATAATTTTAAAGCACAGTAACAATATTTTGGACGAAAAACTTGTCTAGAGATAAGATTTTATGATCAATGAAGTGTTAAAAATATGAACGCGGCGAAGAAAATGTTAAGAATATAAGTGTGATAATGCAGAAAGATTAATGACATTTAATGTAATTAAAATATAATATGTTTATAAAAATATGTGGTGTGAATGTAATCACTCTTTACGAAATTCTCCAAGCATAATGATATGGTTTCGAGTATTGCAATACTAAGAACGACCTACCGACTCTCAAGCTTAACTATCAACCTCTTATATATGTTTGCATTTGTGCACTGTCAATAGTCGTGAATTTTTATTTTTATTTTTGAAATGAATCCAATAGATGATATAGTAAAAGAGAATCAAATCATATTAATTAAGCTAATGATTTCAAGTGTCATGAGATTGTATTGTACTTGATTTTTTTAGAAACATCATCATTATATTCAATCAACTCAATACAAATCCTTAGCATAGAACAAATTAATTCATCTGTGACTATCCCAACCAGGCGAAATGAGAGTCACCATATTGTGGACTACTTTATTCCCTTATTGGCAGGCCGCACTTGAATTTCGTAGGGTTTGAAGCGAATTTTAAAATTTGGACTCCTAAATTGTAATAAGTAATCAATTTTTTTTTTTTTCATTTGTAAGAATTTTATGAAACTAAATTTGTTAATTTAAAATCAACAATAAAATAATAAAATGAAGTATTTAATATACATAAATTACAATCAAATAACAATGTGAAAATATTTTAAACGATAACTTAAAATACAACTCGTTTTGCGGTCTTAGAGACAAAATATTAATCAATTTTGAATAGTCGAGTTATTCAACCTTTTCTTTTTCAATAGATAACATGGTCAATCCATTTAATTTTTGTTTTGACAAAGTTAATCGGAGATAAATCTTAATTAATTTCAAGTTGAAGAAACATCTTTCTGCTGATACAATTATAATCAATATTGTATTTGACTTACTTGTTTGACTTTTAGCCGTTTTCGTAAATATTTCATTCCAAAAGTACAAAAACAAACCAAGATTTTTGTTTCTATTCTACAACATGGTTATAAGATATCTATGAAGGCAAATTTGTGTATAAAAGGTGTCCAAACAATCTATTAACAGAAAAGGAAAAAAATAAAAATAATCAATGATTATCGATGTTTCTAGCTTAGCTATAGTGGGAGAAGATTTCCTTTCATTACATGTGTATGGTAAATACACTTCGCACTCATAATGAATTCAATTCCACATAAAATAGGAAATAAACTNTGCAACACCGTTAACACTCTCATCCAAGGGCATAAATATTTTCATAATGTAACATAATAAATTACAAAAAAATTGATTACATCATATTTAACCATATATTGCACCCAATTATCCAATTAAGTAATCGCCTTTGCATCTTCCACCCCTAATTGCCCCTCTGTTTTCCTTGTCCGAACGACCACCATCACCCTTACTTCATCTGTAATTTCTACCCCAAACTGATGTAACCTTCCTCCTTCCGGACTACAACATGAGTCCCATGTCGGGGGCGGTAACCACCTAGCGGCCAACCTATCCACCACCCCTTTCCTCGTTTAAACCAAAGCCACTCTATTAGTCTGTCCACTGCAACAACAATAAGCTTAGGATCACCCGATCGAACTCACCCAAGGCACACGCACAGCCACACACCCAAAATGTCCCAGCTCAACCCTTTTAAAAGTCCAACATAGTTTTGAAATAGTTAGCTAAACGACGTGGTATTAATTGACCCTTCTTTTGTCATTTTTTCTCCTTGTCCATTTGTTCAAGACAAAAATTCAAATTAATTACGTAGCTCCACTACCATTCCAGTCTATGTGGCACTAGATGATAAATAAATGAAAGGTGAATTCTATCGTTTAATGACACGTTAACGCTACCTGATTGGGATTATAATACCAGTGGATGCTAAATAGTATTACTTATTAATTAAATAATTACAAATATTGAGCCCCATTTTTTTGTCAAAATAAATTTTGAAATAGTATTGTATTGGAGAATGTGTAATTAAAAAATAAGGAAAAATGTTGAGTTTGCGTGTAATATTATTTTATCGAAAGAAAGTGATTGAAAATAATAGAGAGAAAAAAATGTATTTTGTAAAAAAAAGAAAAAGAAAAAGATAATGCTTGAAAAAGAAATTGTTGAGAAAGAGTGAGATACCAAATATCGCCATTTCGCTTTCTCCAAGAATTCTCAATCCACACGACTCTCTCACTCCTTCCCATCGTTATCAATATCATCATTTATACTTTCTGTTCACCTGTAAGTATTTCGACCCGATTTCTCTATGTCTGAATCCAGCACTACTTCTCCTTCTTATGGTACAACCAATTCATTAGTGTTCAATTTCTATATATATGTTTGCATTACTAATTGGTTCTCAAATTGGATTATTGTAGTAAAAATTGATTTGGTTTAACGTAAGTATGTTTTGCGTTACTGGTTAGTGTTTGAAATTGGATTGTTGAAAGGAATTGGTTGTGATTTGATGTAGAAATGAGTTCTACGAAGAAGGAATATGAATTTATTAAGGAGATCGGGCTCGGTTCGCGAAACCTGGGTTGTTATGTCAACGGATTATGGCAGGGTAATGGTCCCGTGATTTCCTCTGTAAATCCGGCCAACAATCAGGTTTGATAGTTCAATTCACTTTTAGCATTTTTATTTTTACCATTTGAAATAGCGGAGGTTGAGGAGTTTGAGGCGATCAAATTTTCCCTTTAAGCACGTGGATTTGGTCTCTCTTTTCCTTTTCTTGTGTTTCACTTTTGTTTTGGGTTTACTTGATGAAGGAATTCAAAAGTGATTGCAAATACTGCGAGTATCCTTTTCTGATTAGAACCTTTTTTTGACACTTTTAGCTACTCGACTTCTTGATTGTAGACAATTGCTGAAGTGGTTGAAGCATCTATTCAAGACTATGAGGAAGGCATGCGGGCATGTGCTGAGGCTGCAAAGATATGGATGCAGGTATATAATACTTTTCTTAGTTAACAGTGATGCTTCTCTGATCGAAGTTGTTATATGTTAAAATTCTAATTGGAGAATTGGAATCATCTCTAAGTGGTGTTTCCTTCTTTTGTATAAAACCTACCACACCATTGAACTTTTAATTCCTTTCTTGGAACTGTTATGGCCTCTTCAACCCTTGTCTGACTGTTCATCTTGTCTCAGATTCCGGCACCAAAGAGAGGTGAGATTGTTAGGCAGATTGGTGATGCCCTGAGAGCCAAACTCCATTATCTTGGTCGGCTTGTTTCTCTAGAAATGGGAAAAATACTAGCTGAAGGAATTGGGGAAGTTCAGGTACATGATCATACTTGTCGACATGGCATAAAACTTGGCTTATGTAGTGTAATACCTAAGATTATATATTGTTTTTTCTAAAATTATGTTGAAGATTTAGCTAGAAAATAGATACAGAAAACAGAACCAGGTAAATATTTTAGGTGCAGCACAAATTCCTTTAGAATAATATGGCAGCATTTGTATTAGCATCAGTTCTGACTTCTGACTTTTGTAGTGATTGGTTATCAGTCTGATAACTTTGACCAATAGTTTAACAAAGCAACTAAATAGATATACCAGTTTTGAGAATTGGATGTTGAATGGTATGTAACGGTAAAGACTGAAAAGTAAGAGTTTAAAAGATCTACTGCCACGTCAAGAATGGTTTACTGCTTATCATGAACGGTATTTAACTGTTAGTTCTTACTTTCTCGTCCTATCTTCCAATGCTGTATAAGTCTTATCACCATCTTCTGTTAGGCAAAACAAAAGAAGTAAAGAATGACAAGAGAGGAGGAGAAACGTCCCTCTTTGGGTGCTAAAACTCCGTATAAAATGCCAAGTACATAGCTGGCTGAAAAATTCTTCTTTTTTTTTTTTCATTTGGAAATTCACATGTTACGGGAAATGCGTTTCTTCACTTTGAAGACAGTATTTATTTGATATACATGTGCCCTCTAATAGCTCAAGTTTTTAGATTAACATGGTAACAGTTAAATGTTCTATGTTCAAGTCTATCTGCCTCAGATTTAGTTAAAAATTGATTGCGCATGTGTGTTTTGAAGTAAATGTTTAAATGATATACCTATGACTTTATCTCCAACTTAAGCTTCTAGATCAATTGGTTCAACGTTTTAATTGTTATGAACGCACTCATAAATAGTGCATTCGTCACAAACAGTACCATTCCGCACAGCTTTTGTTTTACAATATATATTGTCATCGATTATTGGTTATACGAACTTTATATTTGCTGATATTTTATATAATGTTCCACCGTCTTATTCGTCATAAACTTTAGCCAGAGTACATTGCATTATGTTAGCAATTAGGATGCGGAATGTTTTAGACTGTAAAATTTAGTTTTTTCTTGTATTACCCATACATTATTGGTATCTAATCAATCAAATATTCTATAAAACTGACATTTTGGAAGATGTGAAGATCACGTTTATTCAAAAGTCTATCTTGAAATATGATGTGGAATTGCTGTATTGGTGGGGTTCCCCTTAGAAGAGCACGAAATGCATACTCTGCAGAAGATTCTTGGAAAGTTTCACTGATGCAGTGGAAAACTTGTTAATTTGAAATATAAAATAATTAATTGGTGCTTTGAGAATTGTTCAGTCTCAGCTTATTGAGAATAAAATGTTTGTCTAGTGTTGATGTTCCTACAAGGAAAACATCTAAAAACATATTTATGAAAATTATTGTATAGACAAAATTATCGTTTCTTTTCAATATCTTCTTCTCAAAGGGAGGTGTTGTAGAAGTGTTTGCAGAAAAATGTCGAAACTGGGTACCGTGGTTAGTTCATTTATAGAAAACTAACTGTTGTGTGTTTGAGATAATATCATCCCCTTCTGTTGGTTTTTCTTACTTTTGTAAATAACAGAGTACTGTGCAATACATTCTATCATTTCAGAAGGAATATTATTTCAGGAAATAATTGATATGTGTGACTTTGCTGTGGGATTGAGCCGTCAGCTAAATGGATCAATCATACCTTCTGAACGTAAGTTAATCATTGACACCCTATTTATGAATTTAACAGTAGAATTCGCTACCATTTCTATTCATTGTGGGATTTGATAGCAAGCTTTTCTTTTTCAAATGTTCTATAACGGCCTGAGTTATACTAATTTTCTTCAGCAGTTTAAATATTTCATTATATTCCATAAACAACAGAATAAATGTTGTCATTGTTATTAGTAGAACTACTCACTTTTAGTAACTGTGGTTATTTTTTCAATAGGTCCAAATCATATGATGTTGGAGGTATGTTAGATGTTACTTTGAATTTCGAGATCCCAAATTTCCACCTATTATATGGAACCATCCTAAATCTTGGTACTTATTCTTTGAATAGACGTGGAATCCTCTAGGAATAGTTGGTGTGATCACGGCTTTCAATTTCCCTTGTGCTGTTCTTGGTAAGAATTTACAGCAAACTTGATTGGTTTATTTCCTTTTGCTTGGTCAAGCCTTGTTCTTTTTCAACATCATATTTTAATATCTAATGAATCTCTGTTGAGTCTTCTCATAGTATTTCAAGTGTCAAAATGTTCACTGTGTATATATAGGATGGAATGCATGCATTGCGCTAGTCTGCGGAAATTGTGTGGTCTGGTGAGTTATTTCCTGTAAAGTTTACACACTATGATTTTGTTAAGTGATGTTGAACATGATTCCAAACTCTTTCCATAATGGAGCACTAAATTTCTACAAATCAACGTTTTTGTGTGAACTTATGGCTACACACCTCCATTTTTCATTTTATTATAAATGGATATTTTCCTCTGATTCCTTGGACATTCCTGATTATTAATTTTGGTTACTTTTTTGTAACATTTTCTAACAGATAAGTATATAGGTGTAAAGAAAAATCAAGCAAACCAAAAAATGGATAAAAACTGGAAATATCATCTTCAAGATGTATAATTATCGTTGTCTACTAACTACTGTAACCACCTATCTCACTTCACCATACCTTTAATTATTTTTCCTTAATTTCAGGAAAGGTGCTCCAACCACACCTTTAATTACCATAGCCATGACAAAGATAGTTGCTGGGGTATTAGAGAAGAACAATTTACCCGGTGCAATTCTCACAACATTTTGTGGCGGTGCTGAAATTGGTCAAGCTATAGCAGAAGACAATCGCATTCCTCTAGTTTCATTCACTGGAAGTACAAAGGTACTGTTTTCTTGTGCTTGTTTAGTAAAAACTGTTGCGTCTCTTTGAGAATAAAAAATATTTTTTTAATAACAAAATCAGCACGAGCTCTTTGGTGGTTGATACACATTGTCACAGCCTACTAGGTTCATTAAAGCTTCTAATATCTTTACTTCTTTTCTTTCTCACTTCCTTTGCTTTTAAATTCCATTGGATTGCCTATATTTTTCCTAACCTTTCCTCTTTGCCTTTCTTTCGACACTTGATACACACGTCTTTAGAAGGTGGCCATTCTTTTTCTTCTGTGATGGTACATGGAATGAAATTTCTTATAGAAATGATAGAGAATAACCCTCCCTTTATCCCCTTCTGGACAAATGTAATACGTATAATAGTCATTTCATACTTCAAAACTGAAAAAATTATTAAAAACGTGTTTAATTAAAATACTGACTAAACTCATTTGCTGTTCTGCAATTATCTGTGTCTCTATAACCATAGTCTGATTAATTTCAATTTTAATATTCTTCTTTTTGTTATTGGTATTAATTTCTATGTATGAGAATATACCTTTATTTAGTTGCAAAACAAATGTTTGCACCTCAATTCAAGTTATATTTAACTAGACTGAGTTCAGTTGACTTCTTTTGCTACATGTTTTTGTAAGTGTACTTATATGTCTGTCTATTACTTGTCCAGGAAGGTTGTTGGATTCGGCAAGAATCTCAGTTTCTGGAAGTTGGAAAATATTTAACATAACAATCGTATACATATCTTTATACTGTAATCAAGTAATCTATAGAATTGCATTTGACCAAAATTGCCATGCTTTGGGTTTTATAATTCATGGACAAAAGTAAATTTTGAGTTCCCAGGAGAGAGAAATCTCCCCAAGGAAAACAGGTCCAAGATCTTATGTCAACCAGTTCCTTCCTATATTTGTGACTGGGAGAAAAGTAGCTTCTATTTATCTGTTAGTTTACCTGATGGCGTCCTATCATACTTCATCTATTTAATGTGTGCCCTTTGCAGGTGGGTCTAATGGTTCAACAAATAGTAAATCAAAGATTTGGAAAATCCCTGCTTGAATTGAGTGGAAATAATGCTATAATTGTCATGGATGATGCTGACACTGAACTTGCTGTTCGCTCTGTTTTGTTTGCTGCTGTTGGTACAGCTGGTCAGAGATGTACAACCTGCCGCAGACTGGTAGTGTGAAATATTTGACATTATCTTCTGCATTTTTAGTGGTAGAAACCTAATTTTTCAAATCTAACAACTCCTTTTGGTTCTGGAAATGAAGCTTCTTCAAGAGAGTATTTATCACAAAGTGCTTGAACGATTACTTGATGTATACAAACAAGTCAAGATAGGAAATCCTTTAGAGAAAGGTACCTTACTTGGGCCATTGCATACTCGTGCTTTAAGGGAAAATTTTGAGAAGGGAATACATAAAATCAAATCTCAGGTTTGTGCTATTGCTTGACTAGTTTTTCACTAAATCATTTTCAGTTTGACATACATCTGTAACTGTTGATCTGAAATCGAGGGTCATGTTTTGCTATAAATACAATCTTTAGGCTTCTTTTGTTCTTTGTCTACTCAGTGATTGAGAAGGAAAGGCTGATTCCTATCGGACATTATCTGTCAATATGGAATACAAACATTTGCATAAAAATCTAACCTCTTCTTAATCGTCCCAGCAACAGTGTTTGTGCACTCCTGTTGCTGTTTTTTTTTTAACCTATTGTAGAAGCACAATTTTAGTATTGTTCATGCCCTTCCAGTTGCACTAGAATCTCTTGAAATCGCAAGTTTGTGAAGTTTGTCTTTGCGAGCTCAAGAGAGTAATATCCAATATGTTTTGTCTATTCCTTCTTTAAACAAATTTTCGTGTACTTGCAATGCACGTGTATATCAATGATGGTGGGAACTGTTACTTATAAATTAAATTAACAATTGGTAATAGTAATAATTTATAACTGATATGCACTAAATGATTATTCCAGACTGTTGAAAGAATTACATTTAGATCTCCAGTGGGAATGTGAACTTATAATACACTTGAATTTTCCTTGTTAGAAGACTAAATCTAAAGTGAGAATGCTTTAACACAAAATGTAAGGTTACTTCATTTCTAGAGGAAAAATTATACTAATCCTTTTCTATAGTGTTGTTAAGATGTCTTTAACGATTCATAAACCAAGTCACTCTAAAGCAGTAAAATGTTTTCTTTTAGCCTTTTAATGTGTACTCGACTTTTATGAATATTGCCTACTAATTTTTTCCAGGGAGGAAAGATACTCACAGGTGGCAATGTTATAGAGTCTGAAGGAAATTTTGTGCATCCCACCATAGTTGAAATCTCCCCAAATGCTGATGTTGTTAAGGAAGAATTGTTTGCTCCAGTTCTTTATGTTATGAAGTTTAAGGTATCCACTAGTTTTCAATTTAGAGTTGTCATCCCACTTTTCCAATTTAGAGCTGTACCTCAATTTCAAGTGCCTAATATTTTTTGCAGAGTCTGAAGGAAGCAATTGAAATAAACAATTCTGTACCTCAAGGTTTAAGTAGTTCCATCTTCACCCACAAACCTGAAATTATATTCAAATGGATTGGGTAAGATGTTAAATGTGGTTATAAACATTCTCTTTTTTATTATTACATATGTAAGAACTGAACAGTGGCAGATGCTAGACTCGAGAAGAGTGATGTTTATTACTGAGCTTCGTGCTTACGATTTTATTTCTGAAATACATGCATGGAATATCTGACTGAATTTTGTAATCAAAATAGAAGATCACCATTGCATCTTTTTGGCAGGACTTTGGTCACTGATGTATCTTCTCATTGCTTCTCACAAACATAGTTCTCATGCAGGCCTCAAGGAAGTGATTGTGGAATTGTAAATGTTAATATTCCAACAAATGGAGCTGAGATTGGTGGAGCGTTTGGCGGTGAAAAGGCTACAGGAGGTGGCCGTGAAGCTGGAAGTGATTCTTGGAAACAATACATGAGACGCTCAACTTGGTAAATTCATCATTTATTCAAAGAAGTTTCCATTTCTGATTCTTATGGCTTAGATGATATTATTTCTGTCAATGTACATTCTCAGCACTGCTACTGCAAGTTAATTATTGAGACTAGGTGCTTTGGTAACAAGATAACATACTTAAAACTGAAATGACTTAGAATATGCATCACTTTTCTAATGTGAACTCAAATTTCGCTCATTGGCTCGCTATATGAAAATCTATAATATTTATACCACCGTAGAAACTTCCTTAAAGAAAACTTTGAACTTGCTCCGCTTCTTGTCCTCACCTTTCTCCATGTGTCAGCTTACATATTATCAAACAGGCTAATTCGGTTCATTGGTTCAGTTCATTTAGTAAAGAAAAAAATTCTCGAGTACTTGGAATTCTGTAATGAGTTTAGCCATTTAAAATTCTTTCAGTTCACTGTTCAGATATTAGTTTTAGCAAATATTTCCTTATTTTAGTAGCAGTTCAGATGTTGAAACCATTTCTGATTCTCTCATTTTCCTTGCACACTATAGTACAATCAATTATGGGAGCGAATTGCCTTTGGCACAAGGAATCAACTTTGGGTAGTGAATTTACTTTTCGCTCAGAATAATCGACTTTGGCAGGTGAGATACCTTTGTCATTTTACGTGGTATGTTAAATTGTGATTATAGTGCTTTTAAACGATTCTGATTCTGTTTCTGCCCTGAATGAACAGCTCTTTTAGCAGTCCTGTACAATCAGTTTGCTTGCTGAACAACAATGCCACAAGTTTTGGAAGAGCTTCTTGTCTGGGGTTCAAAACTTGTCATAGTTATATTTCAATTTCGTTCTCTGCTAGAGTATAATGAATAAATAAGAAACTTCTTGATTTGCATTCACTATGTACTCTGATTGGAAACGTTGATCTTCTGCATCTCTATGGTTATTACGATGATCAATATTCTTTTTCGTAAGCAAAAATGAAAAGTTAATAGAGTAGTAAGATTTTCACTTTATTATGTGACAATATGCACTTTTTTCACACTGAAGTGAAAAAATTGACAAGATGTGCACCCTATTGCATAGAATTTTCCCTTTGTACTTGATTGGCTTATGTGTTCTGGTGTGAATGTGTGATCATATGGCACTAAGAGAAATTGAAAGTGGCTCTTGCATCTTAAAGTTCTCTAAGCTGTGCTGTGTGAGAATATTAAACACCCCAACGAATTCTAATACGATTAGCTGATCACTAGATAGAGATTGAAAATTGATAATAAATTGAAAGTTGGCTATAAGAATCTATTTCTTCACCGTCTGTTTCATTACTTGATCTATTATAACAAAAACAAGTAGATCTTTAGCAATTAGAACACATTATGTTGATATTGGTCGATCATTTTCTTGTCTAACATGTTCTAATAAAACTGCGTCCTAATGTCAGTAAAGTGTCAATGGAATTTCAGATCGACTAGACATTGAGTAGATATTGTGATATGGGAATTCACTACCCTTGTCGATGGGATACTTTTTTGGGTTGGAACTAGTGATGGTACGCTCATGGACTAGCTGAGCTCAAAAAGCATGCGTAGAGCTCGTGCTCGGGGGTCGAGCTCAGTTTGGCCCACGAGTTCTCGACCCCCGAGCTCTTGAGCTCAAGGATTGAGTCGAGGTCGAGCTCAGCTCAGCTGAGCTCAACCGAGTTCGGTCCACAAGCTCAATTTTATTTTATTTTTTTAAGTGATCAAAACAATCAATGTTTCAAAAGAAAGTGACTATTTGGTCACTTTTTTTTAATGAGGTGAGCTCTTGGGCTCATGAACTTTAGGTTTGTGGGCACGACTCACGAGCTGCTTGTTAGCCTTGCTTGGCTTGTCAACTGAGCCTCCGTTCGGCTCGTGCTTGGGCTTGTTCTAATAGGAGCTCGAGTTGCCCATGGGTCGAGCCTAGGGATGGCAAAAAAACCCGACAAACCCATACCCGCGGGGACCCACCCCGAACGGGGAGAGGAAAACCCGCTTAAATGGGTAAC